GGCTGGCCTAGAATTCTTAGGTTTCCCCTGCCACAAAGAATTCTCCCAGGACCGTGCCCATCTGTAAGGGCTTTGGGGACTCCCACGGTGACTACATTAAATGTAGAATAGAACGCCGGGCGGTGGTGGCGCACGCCTTTAATCCCAGCACTCGGGAGGCAGAGCCAGGCGGATCTCTGTGAGTTCGAGGCCAGCCTGGGCTACCAAGTGAGCTCCAGGAAAGGCGCAAAGCTACGCAGAGAAACACTGTCTCGAAAAACCAAAAAAAAAAAAAAAAAAAAAATGTAGAATAGAATCTCTTAGTGGGTTTGCATGGACGAACTAGCCGGATTCAGTTTTGTGGTCTCTCACCATCGCCCAACACCTTTAATAGCCGTTCTCTCACGTGTTCCCTGGATCTCCACTCGAGTGAATGTGTTTATTCAAATGCTTCTTTCCAAGCCCAGGACACCCCCTCACTCGGGGTGGGCCTCACTCGGTACCTCACTTTAGGGGCCTGCTGGGCCTTGAATCTGGCTACAGCTCTAGAAGCAAAGAGCGGTCGGCCTTGAGATTTTCTTGTCTGGCTATTGCCAGGAGAGTGGCTGTGCTGGGGGGTGGGGGGTGGGGGGCCGGGGGGCAGTTCTGCTAGGGAAGGGGAGACCTCTCACCAGCAAAGAAGACTCAGCAGAATCAAGGAACCCAAAGCCCTGATGTGCCAGGGGCAGTCTTGTCCCTGTTTTCTTGAGGGAAGAACGGACTTTCCGGAGGTCTCTTGAAAAAGCAAGCTGTAGGAGAGGAGAACCGGACTGCCTTCCGGATAGTCTTTCGGTTCTTTCTCAGTTCCCTGTTGAGCTGTAATTTTACCCTGGTGGTGGTGGTGGCAGGTGTCTCGGAGGCACCAGGGTGTCTGTCTGTCTGTCACTATCTCCCTCTTTTGCTGTCTGCCTGTTTATCTCAGTAGCTTGCTCACACTAGTTACTTTTCCTTTGTTCCTTACAAAGTGAACCAACAGCAATGATGGTGTTAATACTCACAGTGGGACAACATACACTTAAACACACAGTGAGCGCAGGCACTGTGTCTAGGTACTTTAGGTACTTTATCCCAGTAGACATAGATTTTTGTCTAGCAGGTTTTTTTTGGTTTGTTTTTTGTGGTGTTGGGAATTTAAGTCAGGACCTCAAAGATGCTGAGATCTGCCACAGAGCTACATCCTCAGCCTACTGTCTGTCACTTTTTATTTGTCCGTCCGTCCCCGTCCCCATGTCGTGCCCCACCCCCACCCCACAGACTCTCTCTGTATCCCTGACTACCCTGGAACTCGATCTGTAGACCAAACTGGCCTCAAACTCAGATCCACCTGCCTCTGCCTCCCAAAGCATTGAGATTAAAGGTGTGTGCCGCCGCCACCACCCAGCTACTTTTTTCTTTTTTTAAGAGGGGTTTTGTTATGTAGCTCAGGCTAGCCTTGATTTCACTATGTAGTCCAGGATTGCTTCAAATTTACAGTCCTCTTACCACCATAGACATGATCGATGACACCTAGTTGTCACATTTTACTTACTTATTTTTATTTTTTAAATAACATAAATTTTATATGCATTGGTGTTTTGCTTGCATGTATGTCTGTGTGAGGGTGTCCGATCCCCTGAAACAGGAGGTACAGACATATGTGAGCTGCCATGAGGGTGCTGGGATTTGAACCTGGGTCCTTTGGAAGAGCAGCCAATGCTCTTAACTGATGAACCATTTCCCCAGCCCCTATTTATTTTTATCTTATTTTTGTCTATTTGCTTTTTTGGTTTTTTTTTTTTCAGGCAGGCCTGAAAATACCCTGTGATCACCAGGGTCACCATGAACTTGCAGGAGTCCTTCTGCCTGTGACTTCCTCATACTGGAATCACAGGCCTGATCAACCACACCCAGCTCGTCTGACATTTTTTTCCTTTTCTTTCTTTTTTGAGACAGGCTCTCTCTGTATACCTCTGGATGTCCTAGAACTCCAGACCAGGCTGGCCTCAAACTCACAGAGATCTGCCTGGCTCGGCCTCCTGAGTGCTGGGATCAAAGGCAGGCACCCAGCGTGTCTGTCACTCTTGGGCCTGGCAGCTTGTGCACGCACACATCTGTAATCCCCCTGGCTGCTGGGGTAGATGCAGGACCACCCTAAACTGGAAGTAGCCTGATCCGCATAGTTTCAGGCTAGCCATAGCTACAAAGCAAAATCTTTTTACCCGAAACGACAGCAAGAGCTGGGATGTAGCTCAGCAGGCAGAGTGCTAATGCTTGACTGGTTTGCATAAAGCCCTGGGTCTGAGGCCAGGCGGCGCTGGCGCATGCCTTTAATCCCAGCACTTGGGAGGCAGAAACAGGTGAATCCCTGTGAGTTCGGGGCCAGTGTGGTTTACAAAGTGAGTTCCAAGATTGTTACACAGAGAAACCCTGTTTCGAAAATAACAACAACAACAATAATAATAAAGCCCTGGGTCCGATCTCCAGTATAGCATAATATCTAGCACATGAGAAGTAGAGGTGTGATGATCAGAAGTTCAAGACCATCCTCCACTATATAATGAATTCAAGGCCAGCATGGATACACAAGAGATTTATCAAGAGAAAGAGAGAGAGAGACAGAGAGAGAGAAGGAAGGAAGGAACTTATTTAGTCTAGAATTCATTGCACAGCCAGCAAGACAGACCAGAAGGTAAATGCGATTGCTGTTAAGGCTGACCCCTGAGTTCGATCTCTGGGACCCATGTTGTGGAATGAGAGAACTGACTCCCAAAAGTCGTACTCTGCCCTCCACATTCATGCTGTGGTATGAGTCCCCACCCCAACCAATCACTCAACTAAATGTAATTTTAAAAATTAAGAAACAGAACGTTAAAGAAGCAAAGAATACTGGTAGGTGGTGGCGCACGCCTTTAATCCCAGCACTGGGAGGAAGAGGCAGCGGATCTCTGCGAGCTCAGGACCAGCTTGGTCTATAGAGCAAGTTCTAGGACAACCAGGGCTATACAGAGAAAGAAACCTGTCTTTAAAAAAAAAAAAAAAACAAACCAAAAAGGGTTGGGGATTTATCTCAGTGGTAGAGTGCTTGCCTAGCAAGCGCAAGGCCCTGGGTTCGATCCTCAGCTCAAAAAAAAAAAAAATGCTCTAAGTAATATTTATAGAGCAGTACAGCCAAGACATCAGAATAAAAAGGGGGAAGAAGAGCGTTATAAACCCCACCTACCTCTGGAAGACCCCATAGCCCTTGGTAGGTTTCCTGCTCTGTTTGATTCTTCAGACATCTGCAACAAATGAACTCTGAAGTCCTTTCAAAACCATGTTTTTCTAGGCAGCCCGTATTTCAAACACTACTTAGTTTCTAGAATTACCTGAAAATACCCAGGAAGCAAAGCCTGTGCAAATCTCTGGAATATTCCTTGGATAAATTGTATGGTGTTGACTACCAGTTCTAAAATGGTGAGGTCATGCGGGGAGGTGGTTGTACACGCTTTTAATGCCAAGAATGGGAGGCAGAGGCAGGTGGATCTCTGAGTTTGAGGTCAGCCTGATCCACAGGGCTAGTTCCAGGACAGGGAAAAAAAAAAGGCTAGGCCTCCAGGTAAACTGGAAATGTAAAGTTCAGGTACTTAAAATCTGCCAGTAATTATTTTTAATATTTGGCTGATTTTAACTAACAGAAAATATTACTCATAACAAAGTTTCTCTATGTAACTTTGTGCCTTTCCAGGATCTCGCTCTGTAGACCAGGCTGGCCTCGAACTCACAGAGATCCGCCTGGCTCTGCCTCTCGAGTGCTAGGATTAAAGGCGTGCGCCACCACCGCCCGGCTGCTTATAACAATTCTTAGTTGGCAAGGTGGTCCAGTAAGTAAAGGGAGCATGCTCACAAGCCGCAATGACTTGACTTCCACTTTGGAACCATGGGAATGTGGGAGGAGAGAACAGCTCCCCAGAGTCATCCTTTGACCTCCACATGTGTGCTGTGAAGAATGCCCATTCTAATAATAATAATAACAACAATAATAATAATACATGACATTTAAAAATTCTCAGTTAACAAGAAGAATATAAAACACTTATTTGTAGCATTGATATGTTTTATGCGCCTGGACATGGTGGCATTTGCCCTATCACTAACATTTGGGAACTTGAGGCAGGAAAATCACTGGGGAAGGGGGGGTAGAAGCTGCCCAGGCTTCCCAGCAGATTCCAGGCTGGCCCTGTCTCAAATCATTGAATAAATCAATGTTTGTAAATGATTACTTTGTTAAAATGTTCCCCGATGTTGTCTAACCTCTGCTAGCATACTATGTATTTCAACTGCTTTTGTTGCGTTGGTCTTAAATGGAGATGGATTCTTAAAAAGCCCGGGATGAGCCGGGCGGTGGTGGCGCACGCCTTTAATCCCAGCACTCGGGAGGCAGAGGCAGGCAGATCTCTGTGAGTTCGAGGCCAGCCTGGGCTACCAAGTGA